ATTCATCCTCCTAAGGTCCTAATCCATCTAATAGCTCCTAAGTGAATACTAAGAGTACTCTTATTGCCTTCTTCTAAGATCATCTTCCTTAATTCGGGATTATTAGACACATAGATTCTATCTTGAAACCACAAAATACCATCAACTTCTACTCGAAAAGGGCTATCTATACCCTTACCAATCCTCTCCACCCGGTTCCCAACAAGTGGTATCAAAGCCGATGGTCTGATTAGGTGACCGGCTCGACGAGTATGATGGCTGGCAGGTGGATCCAAGTTTGGGATCACTTGTGTTGAAAGTCTTCCTAACGGTGAGTCTGTGTGGAAGAGAGGCTTCCTAGTAACATGGAGGGTTAGGAGGCGTGTCCCGTTGTCATGAGGGAGGTCATGATGGAGAGGTGGTGCAAACACTCAGAGCGTGAGTGAGCTCTGTGGGCCACCATCGGATAATACTCGTATTTTCTGCTACAGGGGAGGGGGTAAACCGTGGTCCTTTGTTTGAGGGGAGGATTGTTGGGATGCAAGCAAAGTCCCACATCGTTCAAACAAGAGGATGGACATGGGTTTATATACACACATTTGTCTCCATTGGTTGAGAGGCCTTTTGGGTGATGTCCAAAAGCAAAATCGTGAGGGCTTGAACCTAAAGCGGACAATATCTCACTAATGTGGAGACGTGTATATGTGTGGTAACCCCCGGTGCCCAAAATCCTTAACTGATTACTAAAAGGGTGTGTAGTACTTGGAGGGTAGTTAGTGAGTTAATCCCATAGGAGGCTTAGTTTATGCATGCTAAAGCCGTCGTAGGTTCACACCCAAATTGTTATATCCTAATAATAGTACTAGATTTTCTTAGTTTAAGTGACGAACCTAAAAAATCAATTTAAGTTGTATACCTAGCACTTTGATGAGGCTTAATGCTATCTACACTTGATCTGGTTGTGATAGGTTAGAAGCTATGATTTGATATGATCTAGCCACTTAAAATGATCACCTCTATTGTAGGAAATCTTCGTAGTTGATATGTGTGATGATGCATTAGTTGTCTATTATTTCTTTTGTTGAGAATATTGTTATGCTAAAGTTGTTAAGTTGTGTTATATTGTAAGTTGTATTATGTTGTAGTTGGTGATGAGTTTGAGTTGTATTGTGTAAATAGTTGTTGTTGTTTAAGTGCTTATGATGTTACTTATGTTGTTGCATATTGAATTCTTTCAAAAGCTTACCTTTTTCTTTTTCTTTGTGATTGAAACTACAATGATCATATTTTGCATAGGAGTAGAGCAAGGTTAGCATAATGACTTGGTTAACTAGTGGAAGGTCATGCTGGTGATGGCTTGGTTTTAAAAATGTTATTCAGATGTAGCATGTTTTTTTTGTATAGATTCTTGACCGATGATTAAGAGTTTTAGTGTACAATTATGTCACTTATGTAGATTATATATGTGTATAGGGTGTATATGTAACCTCATAAAGGGATTTATATTTTCAACACTATGATTTATGGCCTATACATGTATAGATTGCATGAATGACTAGGTAACTATTGCATGAGAACCCTAGGATAGTTGACTATTATTAGTATAATTACACTACAAAATAATTATGTTATATTAAGTGTAATAACCTGTCGAGTCGTTGCAAGTCGATTCGCTTGAACCAGGAACTAGGGGGTTAGCTGGTTCGAGTTGAATATTCGATCAATTATGCAATTGATCTGATACAAACCAATATAACCTAACTAATTTTCTAGATGAACCATTGCATTGGGAGTTAAAAACTTGACCAATTTTTTTATTTCAAACTTTTGAATTTAAATTGATGTGTACACACTATCTAACATTATATTATGAATTATAATATTTGTTTATCTGCTTTGCTTGCTAACCTACTTTCGTATGCACCCCCAATGAAACACCTATATATTGTGAGTTTTGTAGAAAAAATTCACTAAAATGAACTAATATTTGATAGAGGCAATATTAGAACCCAAACATTTATGTTCTTTAATTTAAGTTTTTATTACTGAAACAATGTAATTAAATGATATAAGTGTAACCTTTTAAAAAAAATTAAACTATCATTTATTTAAAATTATAATTTAATATATATATATAT